CCCATCTTTGATTGAAATGCCAAATGTCTGACATGCTCAGGTTGCTTCTATTGGAGAAAATGCCAGCTGAATTCAAAAGAGGAATCTAGGCAGAAAACTTTCAACAAATGATCAAATTGCATCTCTTTTAGTAACAGCAAGGAAATTAGATTGAAAGAGAGTTTTCCCTCTTCTGGCAGACTGGCGATGTCAAGCTATCAGAGAACAGAGTTGTTAAATGAAGCAGTGTTTTGTCTTGGGCAGCATACAAATGCATCTCATTTGACTGGATGACTTGCAGCATAAGTACTCTCATTCCACACTATTCCCTTTCAATGTACAGCAAAAAAAAAAAAACTGGCAACGTGCAGTACTGACATTTCGGCCCTTGCTCTATCACACATCTGCATTTTTCATCCATCCAATCATTGAGCAATTTCTCGTCTCTTTCAAAACGATTTCTTTCTGACCTCAGAAAGACATGGCAAAGCCAAACTCTAGTCAAGTATGTGAACCAGTGAATTATGACCTTGGGTTTCCTCCAGTGAAAGCTGGGAAAGGTTGCGTGCTGCTTAAATGTACCACTGAAAAGTTTCTGGGAATAAATTCGTAATTATATTCCCATTTTCTTGAGTCAGAGCTTCTTGCTGTAAAATGTTTTAAGTTACTTTAAAATATTTGTTTCATCTCCTTGCCTGGAAAGAGGGCAAGGATTATCTTTTAGAATTTTCCCAGTGGATTGCTGTCACCCCATATATATTTGGCTTCAAACTTGGTTCAATTTAGGAAGGGCCTTGCTGGCTTTTGGGAGACTGGTCAAAGACTTTTTTGGAGACTGTTGGAAACCAAAAGGTGGCTCAGTGGCTCAGTGCATTGGGGAGTTAGATGTTCTGTAAGATGTTACTGTTTCTGCTGAGTTTTTACTGGGACTATTATTGGAAACCACTATAGGTTTTTAATCAATCAGAATAGAGCTGGGGGGGACCTTGGAGGTCTTCTAGTCCAACCCCTTGCTGAAGCAGGAACTCTGTACAATTTCAGACACGTGGCTGTCCGGTTTTTTCTTTAAAACCTCCAGTGATAAAGCACCCACAACTCCTGAAGGCAAGCTGTTCCACTGGTTAATTGTTCTCACTGTTAAGAAGTTTCTCCTTAAATCCAGATTGCTTCTCTCCTTGATTAGTTTCCATCCATTGTTTCTTGTCTTGCCTGCTGGTGCTTTGGAAAATAAGTTGACCCCCTCCTCTTTGTGGCCGCCCCTCAAATATTGGAATATTGCTATGATGTCACCCCTAGTCCTTCTTTTCTCTAGACTACCCATATCCAATTCCTGTAACCATTTTCCATAAATTTTAGTCTCCAGGCCTTTAATCATCTTAGTTGCTGTTCTCTGCCCTTTTTCTAAAGTCTCAACATCTTTTTTGTAATGTGCTAGCCAAAACTGGATGCAGTATTCCAGATGCGATCTTACTAAGGATTGATAAAGGATTGATAAATATTTCATGTGATTTTGATTCTATGCCTCTGTTTATGCAACCAAGAACTATATTAGCTATTTTTGGCTGCTGCTGCAAATTACTGGCTCGTGTTTAAATGATCGTCCACTAGCACTCCAAGGTCCTACACACAATTGCTGTTTTTGAGCCAGGTTTCACCTAATTTGTACTTGTACCTTTGGTTTTTCCTAAAACCTTGCTTTTCTCCACATTAAATTTCGTGTTGTTGGATAGGGCCCATTGTCCAAGTCTGTCAAGACCTTTTTGGATCCTGAGCTTGTCTTCTGGGGTGTTGGCTAATCTTGCCAGCTTGGTCTCAGCTGCAAATTTGATGAGTTCCCCTTCTATTTCCTCATCTAAGTCATTTATGAAGATATTGAAGAGTACTGGGCCTAACACGTAACCTTGTGGTACCTCACTGCTTACTTCCCTCCATGTAGATCTAGCACCATTAAGGACTACTCATTGAATATGGTTTGTCATCCAGTTACAAATCCATCTGGTGTGCATCCTGTCTATCCCACATTTTTCTAGCTTTCCAAGAAGTAAGTTGTGTTCTACTTTGTCAAATGCCTTGCTGAAGTCTAAGTACACTATGTTCACAGCATTTCTCTTGGCTACTCATTTAGTCACTTTGTTAAAAATGAAATAATATTGGTTTGGCATGAACTGTTTTTAACAAATCCATGCTGGCTTAAAGTTATAACTTAATTTGTTTCTAGATGTTCTAGATTTTCATGCTTTTGTTCTTTTGTATTTTGTTCTTTTAAAGTGTTATTAGATGTCCTGAATTAGATTTTCAAGAACTCCATATACATCAAATACATACAAATAAATGAAGTCATTATTTATTATGAAATTTATTGGATTCCCAGTGCTGTCAGAGCTTGGTGGTTTTTATTGCAGATGTTTCATTACCAAACTAGATAACATCATCAGTGCCAGAAGGAAGTAGGATTTACTTTCTTTAATATATAACATGCAACCTTTTCCATGTTTACATTTAAGGCAGAATTAAAATCTCATTATTAGCATTGCAAGGACACTTAGAAAGAAGTTGAATGTAAAAATAACCTATTTCTGTTCCTCTTTTTGTTTCGTTTTCAACCTTCCCTTCATATGATGGGGAGGGAAGACAAGAAAAACAGCCTTCTGTATAGTATACAGAATTTCCTGAGAACATGCAAATATAGATGATGCAGTTGTAGACAATTTAATGTTATTGGAGTGGATAATTGAAAATTATTTTACATGGTCAAGGTTAAGTGTTTTGTTTAAACACTTGTCAAACACGTGTGACAACATTTTATATAATGTAATATGCTTGGAGCAGCTATTTCTTTTTTTACATAAAGCTAAAATAAATCTTGAAAAGAGATGTCATTGCAAAACACATGTGGAAAGGTAAAGGGTTGGCTGGCCTGCTTTAGTTGTTATTACTGAAGGTGAGTAAAGAAAAAGGAAGTCAAATAAGAGGGAATTTTGTGGAATGGAACGAGGAATGTTTTAGACTAAGCTGTGGAAACTCGTTAAATGACATGGCTTCAATCTCTGTTAGTATTTCATTTATTTGTGTATTTATATGAATAGCTGCCCATTTTAAACACAATTCTTGGTGGCTCAAAACAAAACTAATAACTATGAAATCATAAACTATAAAATAAAACAAAAATCCAGTCCCTCAGTCATGATGCCCCACAACCAGTTCTAGATAATTTCATTCTATCCCAGTACCTGTTTAAAAGGACAGATCTTGATAGATGTCGAAAATGCTAAAAAAAAAAAATGAGAGCCTGCCCAATCATTTGTAGGGGGAAGGTATTCCTTAAAGTAGGAGCGGTGATAGAAAAGGGACACTTCTGAGATTGGATAACAAGATGTTGGGGGAAGAAGCTGGAGCAGGAGTGTCAAACTCAATTTCATTGAGGGCCACATCAGGGTTGTGTTTGACATTGGGGGGCTGAGGGGGAGGGGCTGGCCAAAGAGCTTGAACAGCTCAGTGTCACTCATTGAGGCTTCATTTTTGCTGGCAGAGGACTCCAGGAGGCCATTGTGGCAAACAATGGAACCTGGGTGAACCATGCGCAGCCTCTCCGAGGTACATTTTCAATGGCAGAGGGTTGCAGGAGGCCATCGTGGCTGAAAACAGGTCCTGGGATGGCCTCATGTAGCCCTCCTGAGCTCCGTTTTCACTGCCAGAGGCACTGCAGGCCTGTCCTTTGCTGTTTCCAGGTTGGGCCTGCGGGCCAGATCCAGCCCACAGGACTTGAGTTTGACACCCCTGACCTGGAGCATAGCACCCTATCCGTTAGGATGGACAGACACTCTCAGGGAAAGATGGTCCTGCGCATCACCATGTCCCATGCTATGAAGACCTTTAAAGGTGGTAACCACCACCTTAAATTGGACATGGAAGAGAATTCGGAGCACAACATAAGTGTAACCTTCTCAAACATGCAGTACCACACACACTGCTGCATTCTGGACCAGTTGTAGCTTCCAAGTAGTCTTCAAGGGCAGCACCACATCGAGCACATTGCAGTAGCCCAAATGGGAAGTGACTAAAGTACGAGGAATCATGAGCATGGCCTCTGGGTGCAGAAAAAGCACATTTGGGGCACTAGACAAATCTGTGCAAAGCCCCTCCTAACTATGGTTGCCACCTGCTTCTGAAGCAGGAGAGGTGAGTCTAGTAAGACCCTCCAAATTGCACATCAGCTCATTTAGGGAGGTGCAACCCTGTCCAGAGTCAATTACAACAGATCATCAGTCCCTGAAGGGTGGGGTCAAAAACCCAAAGCCTCTCCATTTTGCCAAAATTGAGTCGAAGTCAGTTTCTCTCCATCCAAACTCTCAGTCTCCAGGCACTTGGCCAGCACTATAATCACATCACCTGCCTGGCCTGGATGCAAGGAAATGTATATTGCCGCGCATTGCTGAATAAGATGCAAGAGATAAACATTTTAAAATTAGAAATGGCAGAAAACATTTATAGCTCGGGTGGTAGGTGTTGGTGGTGGTTTGTTCTCGGAGTTTGTTGTTTAGTTTCCGAACATTTGGAAATTAAACAACGAACTCAGATAACAAACCACCACCAATGTATTTTAAGATACATAAATTAGAAAGATAACAATTTAAAATAACATGCCAAATTTTCCTCATAATTGTACAGACTTTGTCATCACATTCATCTTCTTAAATAATCAGATTATTCCCTTCCTAAAAATGATTATTCTGACTCCCTAAAATCAGAGTAATTCCCTTCCAACATGTTTTCCATCCCAGCTCATTAGTAATCTGAGTGAAAATTAGAGCAATAAGGTTTCCTCGTATGTGTGTTACTCAAAAGAAGAATAAGCTGTCCCAGCCATTAACTTGAGTCTGAATATAGAATTTTAAGCCAGTTGATTGTATTTCTTTGCACTTGAAAGTGACGATTAGCAATTACTTATACTCAAAGCTCAACATTTGGGAGCCTTACTATAACCACTGATTCTGACCATTCAAATGTCTGGTTTCCTCAAGGTGCAGTTGAAAAGTGATGAATCAAAAACGTTTGCAATGAAGATACTAAAGAAACGCCACATAGTAGACACGAGACAGCAAGAACATATACGCTCAGAAAAACAGATCATGCAAGGCGCTCACTCAGATTTTATTGTGAGGTATGACTGTGTTCTTGGATAAAACTCCCTGCTTTCAGAGTTCAGAAATTTGTTCTCAGCTTTTCATTGCATTCTTCTATCAAATTGCTGTATAATGCCTTATCTGCTCTAAAACGTTCATTCCAATGCCTGAAATATCCAATGAGTGTATGAATTCTCATACCCGATACTACATTATTTATCATTGTAAATACCATAGTGTAACTTAAATGAAGAGTAAAGTTTCAATGTGCACAAAAAATCATGGATTTCTACTTCATAAAGCAGGCAATGAATAACTTAAAACAGCAAACGCATTTTTAAAGATAGACATTTGCTTATTAATAACTATGAAATGTTATGCCTAACTGAAGGCATATTAACTATATTTCAAAAAGCCATGGTGGCTTAGGTAGTTAGAATGCAGTATTGCAGCCTAATTGTGCTGACAGCTGGCAGTTCGAGTCTCACTGGCTCAAGGTTGACTCAGCCTTCCATCCTTCCAAGGTTGGTAAAATGAAGACCTAGATTGTTGGAGGCAATATGCTGACTGTGTAAACCGCTTAGAGAGTGCTGTGAAGCACTATGAAGCCTTATATAAGTCTAACTGCTATTGCTACTATTTCTGCTCTCCTTCCCATTCTTAACTAATAGCTGTAGCAGCACAAGTCATATCTTAGCAATTCATTGTGTATAGGCGGATATACACAACCATGCATACATTTGTGCCTCCAAAATGTTATGAGGTGGCTTAGAACAATAATGAATTCTGCCTTTGCTTCTTTAGGTACTTGGATCCCTAGCCTCCTTTGAGTCACTTTCATTATAATTTTATGAAACTTGTATAAAATAGTAAATATTCAAGTAAAAGTTGTTTCTGCCTGGGAGTTATTTCAAAATACCTAGCTTTCTAGCAAAAAGATTAGGAAAAATAATGAAGAAAAAATAGGGAAAAATAAGAAAAAAGTACTAAAATCCCTTCAGGGAATAGCTTATTTTGATTAAAAGCAGTCCAAATGTTGCAACAATGTTAGTTTTGCATATGTCAGAATTCTTCAACAGGCTAAAGAGTACTAAAGACAAGACAAGAAATGAACAAAACAAAACGTCTTTAGTACAGTCTTAGACTATATATACACCTAAGATCCTTCATTGTTCATAAATAGAACCGCGGTGGCACAGTTGTTAGAATACAGTATTGCAGGCTAATTCTGCCATTGTCAGCAGTTCAGTTCTCACTGGCTCAAGATTGACTCAGCCTTCCATCGTTCCGAGGTTGGTAAAATGAGAACCCAGTAATATGCTGACTCTGTAAACCACTTAGAGAGGGCTGTGAAGCACTATGAAGCGGTATATAAGTAAGTGCTATTGCTATAATTGAGGATCCAAAAAAGGACATGAAATAATCTGTAAAGCAATTTCAGAAGCAAAAGACAGAAGTTTTAAAATAATTCAACTCTGTTGGATTGTATTTACAAACATGTTTTCAAAGTTGCTAGGCCAATTTTTGCCTTGCTAGGGGTAACAACAACTCATATAGTCTGCTTCCAGAAAAGAGATATACCAGTTTTCTTCTGCATTTGGCAGTGCTTTTATGAGATGTCTAATTAATGTAGCGCTCAAGTTCCTCTCAAAATTACAGTATCATAGAACATGTTGCATATTCATGATGGTGCATCTTTTTGATATTTGCCATGAGTGATAGCTGAAGGCTGTTCATTGATCCTGGCAAGGCCAAATGTCTTAACAACATCTATAATTTATTAGAGATTGGCAACAGTTGGTATAGTAAAGCAGGGGTCCCCAACCACCGGGCCGCGGACCGGTACCGGGCCGTGGAGCACTCTCTACCGGGCCGCAAAGAATTTTTTTTTAAAAAAAATGGCGGCTTTCTTCACCTTCGGTGAATGCTGCTGGGATCGGGGATCAAGGACACAAATGAAAGAAGGGGAGGGAGGAAGCAACCGAAGCCTGTCCTTCTCTCTGGGTCAGCTCTCTCAGTCGCTCTCTCGCTCCTCCACCAGC